ATTTAGAGACCTTTCACATATACCCCGGAACTTTAGACTATTTTGAAAACGATAATTTTTACAGAGTGATATCGTGGTGCCCTATAGAACTTGGTACAGTACCACACAACTTTAATACACGCAAAAAATATTTTGTATCAAAAGATTCGAATGTTGCATTTCCTCTTCCACGTCTCAACATTATTGAAATTAAAAAACACTCCTTTGAGTCGTCTTATATAGTACAGTCCACTAAACTAATTAATTTTGACAAAATTCCAGATACTGTGACCTCAATAGGAGAATATACATTCTTTCGTTTCAATTATGAAGGGAAAATGACACTTCCACCCAATTTACAATCACTTGGCAACAACGCGTTTTCTTTGTGTAAAATGTCCGAAGTTGTTGTCAATGAACTGCTGACTGACATTGGTGAGTCGGTCTTTGAGAACTGCACACAACTAACAAAAGTCGTTCTTCCACTTTCAATAAATAACATTCCTCGTAGCTTTTTGTTGAATTGTATCAACTTAAAAACGATCAAATTTGTGGATTCGGTGTACAGAGAAGACAGGATGTGTGCTTTCAGTGATTTGGCGTTTCACACGTGCAAGTCGTTGAGTTGCATTGATACACCACTAAGTATAACAAGCTTTGGAAATTGTTGCTTTGGGCGATGCACATCACTCGCGTGTATCAACTTTCCTTCAAAATTAATGCACTTGGGAAAGTTTTGTTTTGAGCAGTGTTGTTCACTAAAAGAAATTGAAGTTCCATTAAGTGTCACACACATCGGAAAGTGCTGCTTTATTTGTTGCCAAAATCTCACAGCTGTCGTGTTAAAATGTGAATTAAACGAAATAAGTGAACACCTCTTTGGTGACTGTATATCGCTTCAGAGTGTAGAATATCCACAAAGTGTCACATCTATACAAGACTACGCATTTCTCAACTGTAAAAAGATCACTTCCATCAACTTAAAGAACATTAAAGTTATCGGAAAATCGGCGTTCAGAAAGTGTTCCTCGTTGACTGATATAAATTTGGAAAATGTTATTAAATTGGGTGAAAAGTGTTTTTCTAATTGTGAAAAGTTGGTCAAAGTAAGTGCAACAGGAAAAATTAAAATTCTCCCAAACAACTGCTTTGAGAATTGTGGATATTTGGAGGAATTCGAATTTCCACAAGAACTTGAGATAATAGGGAAGTCGTGTTTTTCAAAGTGTGTCAAATTAAAAGGAAAAATAGAGTTTAACAAAATCACAGAAATTGGAGAAGAGTGTTTCTTGGAGTGTCATGACATTCATAATGTGATTATAAACGGATGTTTAGAAGAATTAAAATATGAGACTTTCATGAATTGCGTTTCTTTAGAACAGGTGATTCTTTCAAAAACAGTGGAAAGAATTAAAGATGGGTGTTTCATGAATTGCTTGTCTCTCAAAGAAGTGAAATGTGAAGGAAATACTGTGATAGATGGAATGAATTGTTTTGTGGGGTGTGAAGTCCTTGACAAAATAAATATCAGATTCAGAGGCATTGAGTATGGGAGTTTTAAGGGCTGCAAACAACTTGAAAGAAATGCTACAATTGATAAACTGTATTTTTAATTATTTTAGTTGTTTATAAAGAATAAATAATTTAAATTGCCAATTAGAATTTATTCATATTTCATACTTTATATATAATCGATCCAAATATAAAAATAAAAATGAAATTACTTGAATATAAAGAATAGTGCGTTTTATAAATTTTGTATTTAAAAAGCAATAAAAGTATATTCAAGTAGACAATTTAAATACAGTTAATTAACAAAAACTTTTGAAATTGTATATGTAGTTGTATTGGTTATATTTCATTTTTGATCATTTTCAATAAAAACACATTGTTTATTCTTTAACACTTATTAGTTCAGTTATGATAAATGTGTTTATTATATAATTATTTTATTATTTAGTCGTTGATAATAAAATATAAATTTATTTGTAGCATTCAAAATGTACTATACAGAATATTATATAATAGTATAATTTAAAGGATAAAATAATGAATAAAATATTTAATATTATAGTTAATATAACTATTTAATTCTTGTCAAAAGTCAAAACTCAAACCTTTTTAATTTGACGAACACAAATCATAAAAAAGATTTAAAAAACGAAAAAAGACAAGCCTCAAAGTCTTCGATTAATTCAAAAATTGAACTTGAAAACAAACATGTCGAAGTGCTCGGCACCATCTCTCGGAGGATTTAGTTACCAAACAGTTGTCAATATCAAAAGAGAGCCAAAGGTGAAACCAGCACCCCGCAAGGAACTTAAAACGGAAGAAGTGGATGAAGGGTGTTCGGAAGAGAAGCGTGAACTTCGCGAAGGGTACCAGAGTCTTGCAAATAAAAAGATAAAAGGAAAAAATCCACGAAGGGTTGAGAAGCGCTCTAATTTTGGAGATTATAATTGATTGTGTGTTAGAATAGTTTGGTTTAATGAGTAACTGTTTTTATTAATTATCATTTCTGAATAATTTGAAATACCATTTTACATTCTATGTTAATTTATGTTGTTATATATAATTTTCAGTCTTGTTGTGATTTATTTCAATTTGTTTTTTTTGCAATGTTCATTATTCAACATGGTCAAATGACATATAAATTTAACTGTAATTTATTTATAAATGTTTGTTATTTTATTAAAAATACTACTTTTGTTTAAATACAGTTGTTATCTATTTTATAAAATCAAACCTTTGAAAAGAATAAAATATATTAATTTTATTATTTTCCAGAATCGGCATTTTTTTCTTATCAAACTCCAAAACTTGCTATATAGAGACTTCATTTTTGGTTATTGTAGACAATGCATGTTATTGAGAAAACTTGCTTATTTTAAATTTAATTGTTCCTCTATCTCTATTATTATATTTACAATAAATAAAACTATTATTATTTATGATTGGTATTTATATTTGTGATAACTTTTTTATCAAAACTTGGGTTGGATTTACACAGTGAATTATTAATTACAAATGAGCATAAAAGTATGTTTTAAGCCTGTTGTTATTAATTTAATGTTATTTAACTTATTCTAAATTGTTATTTACAAGTTGTACCAGCCCAATACTGTTTATTGTTTAAATATCAAACAAAGTTGTTTTAAGTTTTAAATATAGTATTATTTTTAGTAATTCAAATGATAAACAATTATATACAAATATTCAATTTTGTTATATAGAGTTATTTTAGAAGGATGTTTGAATTCAATTTAAATTAATATCAAAATAAATTTATTTCAATATATAAAATTATTTATTATTTTGTTTTTTCATTATATCAAAATATAATAATATCCAAAAGCAAGTTAGATATTGTTAAACCATTGTGTAGGTCCAAGTGGTTCCAAGAACATCACAATTGACCAACAAAGTTCTTCCTTGATCATAACATTGGTCGATCACATTATGACAGTATGCTTTTCCTTGTGGGCAATTTCTTCCATCTACAAGAGCATGTTCACCCTGCAAATCTCCACCACTTACGCACCAACTACCCATTTCAACTGAATGAATAGTTCAATTTCACTTATTAAATACCTCTTATTTATTTATATATTTATGTATATATTAGTTTGTTGTTGTATAATAGTTGTTATTAATAAAAAAATGATAATTTGTTATATGAAATGGCTTAATATTGTTGATATACAACGAATGAAAGATTTTATGGACAAAACAATTCAATTTGTTTTTTATAATACATTATTATTGTTAAAGACACTTAAAAACTTTCATTTTTGAAGAAATTTACATTAACAGTTACCAAATCATTAGTAATTGAATCAAATATAAATTATTTAATGTTTGAAATGGTATTTTACATTGAACTGTGTTTAAGTTTTTTTTATTGATTGGCAACTAAAAATAAAATTATCAACTTAATTCTTATTAAAAATTAATTGTAATATTTAATTTCAACAAATCATATATAAACAATAAGATTATGTATTCAAAATTAACAATGTATAGATAACCGATATTATGATTTTGTTATATTTTGATAAAAATTATTAAGACTTAAATAAGTGTATGAAATAAATAACTTAAAAATGATTTTGTTTTTATTAAATAAATCCTTTTTTCATATTCCAGAAATAGAGTTAATGTGTTCTTTTAATTATAATATTGTCAAAAGATAATACCACAATACTTAAATAAAATACCATCCAAAGCACCAAAATTGTTATTGAAATACACTCTTTGTATTTATCAAATATAAACAATTAAAGTTTATTTTTA